ATGGATCAATACCCTGACTCCCAGATTCTACACGGACCGATCGATACATCAATTTTTAATCGAATCCCCTATGAGGTTGAAATGTGGCGGAGTATAAAAGACTACGAGATCAATAAGACTACAACGGATGACGTAAAAGAAAATATTGAAGAAACACAGCCAATCTAAGTGTGTTTTAGTTTGAAATAAAAAAAACTAATTTAAACTCGTGGGGTAGGCCTACTTGGGGATGATGCCCACGTTAAATATACATCAACGCGCCTTAACTGTACGGCCTGGTATAAATATAAAACCTACCGTGGTGTGGAAATCAGTTACTTGACATTCTTACCATGGAGCAGAGGGTATGGTTCTCAGACAAAGTTAAAACAATAGAAGAGAAACCCTGTGTGATTGAGTTCCAAGCTTTTCGTGGAAATACAAATGAATATGTTGTTAAGGAGTTAGTAATTTTAGATTTATTAACGTACGTTGTCTATCCCTTTATGTTTAAACCACCACATTCTTTTAAAAAACTAAATTCTAAAGCCAAGTTAACTAATAAGTGGGTTACTAGGAATTTTCATCACATTGCATGGAATGAAGGATTTTTAGATTACAACACTGTAGATGATGTAATGTATCACTTTTGTGCGAAATTCAACCGTATTTACACTAAAGGTTTGGAAAAACGAAGCTGGATTCAAAAATATACCATTGGTAACGTGATTGATGTAACGATTGACTCAAATTTTAAAGTGTGTTATGACGGTATTTGTCTTGCAGGCAAAAACAAATGTCATCGTCAAGGTCAATGTGCTTTAAAAAATGCATACCGTATAGCATCATTCCTAAACCAAAAGGAGAGCTGCGGTAGTGGGGGAATCGATGGGTATAAATATGAGGAAAGTGTGCAGACAACACATCAGTATTGTTCCAACCTAGGACAGGAAAACACCTACAGCTTGACCAATAAAGATGGCATCTCAACTCCAGAACCTTGTTGATCAGTTCAACACTCATTCAAAGTCAAGTGTTTTAATTACTAAAAAGTGTTCAGAACTTAAGGAACTAAAACATTATATTGTGCATAGAATGAAGAAAATGGAAACATCTATTGGGGACGCTATTCTAGTCTCCTTAAGCGATGCACCTTTTACTCCAGGAGATGAACCAAAGTTCCAAATGTTTCTTCCAAAACGGTTTGTCAGCATGTTACAAAATGAGGATCTACGCAGCATCGAACCGGGCTCTCTCTATTTGGTATCTCATGGAGTTAGTGGGAACAACTCTACAGAACTCTCTTTGCACTGTTGTTAGAATAAGAATATTGTACAAATGATTGTATATAAATAAAATATTATAAATTATCATGTTAGTATTTTGTCTAAAATACTAACATGATATTTTTTAAAAACTGATATGGATGACCTTGACCTAAATCAGAAACAACATTTTTACAATCGATTACAAACTAGCTAACCCCCACCCCTCTTCTTTGCGTATAAAACGTTGCTAACAGTTGGGTTTTAATCATTTGGATTGCAGCGAGCCATCTACTCTCTTAATATGTCCGCAACCATTTTGAAGATTAAAATTGCCTTTCCGAACTATACTCACTTTCAAACTAGGCTAAATTCTTTTGAAAAAAGTTTACATAACTCTGTCGTAAACAATTCCAAATGGGAATTATCCGAAGCAGGGTTTTTTTACACTGGGAAGAATGATGAAACTATATGTTACTACTGTGGAGGAGGATTAAAGGATTGGCAAGAAGAAGATGATCCGTGGCAAGAACATGCACGATGGTTTCCAAGATGCCCCTTTGTGGTTGTTAACAAGGGGCAAGACTTTGTGAACAAATATTCCAAGCGAATAAATAAAAATGTGATAGTTAAAAAGAGAAGCTCAACCAAAGGCGTAGGAACAAACGAACCTGTGCAAAAACAAGGATCGGAGTGCATAGTATGTTTGTCCGCAGAGAGGGAAATTGTGTTTTTACCTTGCAAACATTTTTGCAGCTGCATCATGTGCGGCCTAAGTGTTGACAATTGCGTTTATTGTAGAACCCCTATTATTTCTGTGATGAAAATATTTATGGTGTAATACGAGGCCCTTTAAAAAGATTAGTGGTGGGGGTAGCTAGGAGGGGGGGGGGGATGGACTTTACCTATAAATACAAGAAGATAGTCCTATGCCTTCAATCGTTCTGCAGACTTCCTAGAGGCAACTACAGCTCAATACAACAATTATGTCTCTCAAGGTGAAGTTTGTCCAGTACGACGATGTTCAACTTTCAACCTACCATGATATAGATGTTTTTGCTGAAGAGTTGAGAGTTCTACTTGCAAGTGGGTATGCAGTTACAGTAACAACAACAGCCAACAGCACTCTGCTTCCAGACTACGGAGCTTACAAACCACCATGCCCCAATCGAAGAAAATTTGAAACCGACCATTCAGCATTCAACATATATGGAAGCAGCAGCTCTACGACGAAGAACGATTCCAACACTTCTTAGATTTAACTTAGATTTAACTACTTTACATTATTATTACTATTGTTGATTGTAAAAAAAATAAATGAATAAATAAAAAATATTCTGCACTATTTATCCATTAGTGCAGAATATTTTTTAAAAACAGATTCAGATGACCTTGACCTAATAACAATACCAACCAATCCACAACATACATCGCCAGAGTCGCTGCGTAATTCACGCTGCTCCACAATCACAAAATACTTACCAATTACCTAATTATGACGTCACGGGATCACCCCCGTGTTTTATACTACTTACCTGGGATGAATTGATTCATTGGGTTAGTCCACGGGCAGGATTTTGGAACCGAGACAAGAACATTAGTACGTTCTCATATTTGTGTACCCCATGGGAACCCTATACTTTTTTTAGAAAATAGTTTTCTTTAAATATTAGACCTTATAGATATACTGTGCGTAATAGCGCACAATAGAGTTAACTTTGGATAACGTATCTAATCGTGTATCCATGGCAAGGATCGGTATTGTAGCTGGTCCTCTGAATATTCCTTTGTATTTTGAGGAGACGATTTATCAATAAAAGTTTAAAAGTAGTGGTTTTATTAAAGAAGGTCTGAAAGCTTCTTCAGATACCGTCTGTGAAAGTACGTATAGCATTTAGTTTTCTTTCTTGTGGGGGGGGGGGGATTAATTTTGTATCTCAACATCTTGGAGGATTCGTGAAAATAGATCTTAAAACAAAATGTTTTCAAAACAACATATCGAGCTCCTAGTAAACCATTAAAATTTAACATACAGCAATGTTGTCATAAAAGAAATACGAGCGTTAAGTAGCGGCCATAAACAAACTCATCATAAAGATTAATTACAGTACTTGCAGCGATGATGCCACAATTAATGATAGCACTAAGGCCACAATAGCCAGCAAATAACACAGAAGAGATGTTAGCTTGCTTAATACACGTGGCTTCTCAGCATAAAGATGACGTTTCTGCATTGTTACTGGAGAAGCCTCTGGCAACGTCATCTGGGAAATATGAATACATAACTCTGCTGTCAGATAACTCGGGGAACGATGGAAATAGCTATGGGAACTCAGGAATAGAATACATTACCTGAGGTGTTAAATGCGAACATTGGATTAGTCTGAAACTGTTAATTAACTTATAAAATTAAGAAAAATTTTGGACTGTCGGCAACATAACTTGTAAGAGTTAAATGCGTTGATTTCGACTTCCTTTCTTATTTAAGTTCCTCTCTTATTTTAGGGGTTAACAATGCCCGATTTACTCTTTCTTTAAAAATACTATAAGCCATGGCGAAATATACGAAGGGAACTCATAGCTACAGAGCTATGAGTTCCCTTAAATACACTGTGGTAAAACACAAGCAATAAAATGTAGAATATCCACTATCTATCAATCTATTTGTTATATGACTGAAACAAAGATGAAATCTAGAAAAGGTCCAATCTTAGCTGATTGATCTTTATCGCCTCTCCATTCATTCCCAAGGTAAAATCTGCAATAAACTGAATTGAGTCTCAGACATTGCCTCAGTCACCCACTCAACTGTCAATCCTACATCCTGATCACCAAGCTATCAGAGACCAGACTATGTGGGAGGAACGGACAGGCGTGGGGTGGAAGTGAGTACTCGAGCTTTCTATAGTTTGTATTTGTTATGGACAAACTACACTATCTGTCAGCCCAAGTGACTTTCCAAATAAACATCCTCGTCGACTGTAAACCCGTGTTTGTTTCAGAAAAGACAAAGAGACGTCGTAAAACTGTAGTTTGGAGAAAATGCCGGGTACTTGATTACTTTAAATGAAGAGAGAATATGTTTGTTGGTATTCTGTGTTCTATGTTTAGAGGTCGTAGGTAAAATTAGTTTGAAATGCTTCACAAAAAGGACTGAGGTGTATTAAATGGTGAAAGATTGGTTTTGCTAAGTAGACGTAGTTTTACTCTTTCCAAGTCACAGGATATGGTTTACAGTAACATCTTCAAGTAATCAGTGTTTATAATAATTTATCTGGTCCTATTGATGTAGTGTTAACTGACACATGTTATTAAAATAGGCATTATTTATCATTATTTATTTTGTCCGATTATTATATTACTGATCTGATAATGCTACCTATAACTAGATAGAACCTAATGGCGACTATCATATGTACACAATGTTCAAGTGAAATTAAGAGAAATATCCATACAAGAACCTTCGTTTGAGTTTGGAATAGTTTGAAAATAGTCAGCTTAGTAAGTACAAAGTTGTTGTGCTTACCTAGCAAACTAAAGGTAGCTTCTTCATGGTTCAACACCTAACCCATCTGTCCTTGATCATTGGGTTGTTAATAAATGACCATGGATAAAGGTAAAAGATGACCATAGTCAGTGACACAAGGCATCTACCAGAATTCTACCCTAAACCCAGCTTATTTTTGGATAAATAGCCACGAAGTAGCGTTTACATCTTTATTACGGTATTGGTAGTAGGTAGTATTTTCTACTTACACAAATCTGCTTCTCAGCCGTTGTCGTCTCCTTCTCACACACGGTCCATTGCGAGTCCTCAGTCCTTTGCTCAGCCCGGAGTTTCTCGTATCCTCCAGGACCTCTACACTGCAAAGACTCGTACAACATGGCGTTTCGCACCCTCGTCGGAACACTGGTGGGGTTCTCGTGAAGGAACACCGGGCCGAAGGGTCTCGAGGAAGCGGACGACGGTGGACTCGGGGTAAGATCCGAGAAGCCACTACTGGTGGACGAGCTCGACGTGGAAGTCGATCCTTGCGCGTCGTACAAAGGTTCGACCGGGGGAAATCTGCCGAGTCTCTTGAGCAAGGATAGTCTTCCAGCTTCCAGGTCGTCATCACTAGACCCCTGACTGAAGGCTCTACCTACAGTAGCGACTGCTTCACTTCGACTTAGACTCACCGATAGTCTTCTAAGAGCTTCTTCTGATCTTTCGCAGTGTCTGTAAGTATTAGAGTCCACTCCGGAGTTTTGGGATTCGAGAGCATCGAGGCTTTGGTTGATCTTCTGTCCGATCTCGTGGAGAATCTCTTCTGCCACCTTTTGCCGAGTGTCCGCGCGGTTGATGGTATCGGACAACTCGCGTAGGAGGTCGTACGGCGACGGTGGCTTCTCAAACTTCTGTCGCATCCTGTAAATTCTCCGGTCGACGCGGACCGGTGGTTTTCTCTGGCGGTCCTCATACCTCGGCCAGACCGGACGCGGAATGCAGTAGTCGATCCTCCCCTCTGGGATGGTGCTCAAGCCCGGCGCTGACACTAATATCTTGGGGCTTTGATCCAGCGTTTCCTCTCCGATGTCTTCTCCACTCCAGCCTGAGCTTGACCGTTGACTCTCGTACCCCGAGCTTCCAGACTTTCCTCCGGCTCCGGAGCAAACGCAACGACCCTTGCGACGACCTTCTTCCTCGATGAATATTGGGTTTACCCTAGAAAAGAAGAAATAAATTAAGCTTTGGGGATTTGCGTTGTGATATATTGGCTAATATACCTAATTAACCGGTAGGGTACGTAGTCCACACTTTAATTGTTGAGTAGAAACATTAATATTGTTGGTGAAAAGGGTGTTACACTCTACTATAGGAGGAATACAGTAATTGGGACTTTTAAATAACGATTTTATTTAAACTTCTATAAAATGGGATACTAAAACCATATACAACATCATAGAACATATGAAAATAGTCTAATCTGTTATAAATATTCAAGTACATTTAAAACAATGTTTTTATAGACAATAATATTGATCTCTAACAAAGGAGCCCTTTTAGCTGCTCATGAAATTACAACAACCTGCATGAAAAGCTGCACAATATTATGCAAAAACTACTGCATAGATCATAGAGAAATAATGTAGTGCGGATGGCAATTAAAATATGAAAAAATAATCAAAATTTAAAGATAAATCGTTACAATCGTTAGCACCGACCTAGTGACAGCGTAGACCTGGGATGGTCTGTTGACGGCGATTGTTGCTAGAGGGTCGTCAGTTACCCAGTCCCGGGGTCTTCTTTGAGCCCCAGTCAACCACTTGATCATCCCCGTGCAACCCCATTCGGCCTCCTTTCCTGAAAAAAAACACATTTTTAAAAAAGAGCTTATTAAAAAAGGTAATACAAAATTTCCCAATTTGTATACACAATTCAGTGATTCAATTTGCATTTGAGCCAATTTTGAGGGTTGAGAGCTTTTAAAAGAAGAGATTTTCCTGATCCAGATCAAATATTTGTTTGTTGTATTCCTTAGTTTCGTTTTCCGATCTGGAAATCTCACCGGTTAGGCGGGCCTCTAACCGCATAATGACATTATAATGTAGTACCCACCTAATCTCTAGGTGCAAGGCATATTATTTAGTCAATGTGTGTTCTAGAGTATTTTTTTAAATATTCTAACCACACCGAAAGTGTACATGTCTATTGGATCCTATAAATGTGTATGTGTGAAGTTCCCGAATCCATTACACCGGCAAAAACACTAACCTAACTTATTTACTTAAAACCTAACCTAACCTACAACCAACCTCGCCTAACCTTAGCTCAACTAAAATAACTCAACCTCCCACATAAAATCTGTATACTCATATTTGCACCCAACTAACCAAGCATTGAAGATACAACACCTTTACAATACAATACGTTTTTAATTATTTAGATACATTTACTACCTCGAAAAAGTACAACTTACACCGAAATCTATGTAATTCCAAAGTAACATACATTGATGAATAATATTCAATCGAACCATTCGACTTTATCTATACGATCGACGGTTGAGATGCATATTAAGACCATTACCAGAGTAGCTGAGATATTGCAACCTTCCAACACTCATAAACTAAGGGATCGCTGCAGAGTTCACGACATCGTGCTGCAGTTTCACCTTGTTATGTGGCACAACCTTCACAGTACTACAATACACCCATAAAACACGGGATATGTTTTTATTGCTAGCCAAGAGCATACTACGTTGAATCATATTTAAAATCTTATATCTTCATACGTAGGCTTCGTCGAGGTCCAGCGATGTTGTCAGCGTCAACATCAAGGGTGCTGAAGATTCAATTGCTTATTTAAAGTGTTCTTACGTCACTACTAACACAGAAAATAATTGAGGGATTTCAAAAAGGTAAAATGTTCATTCTCTTATTTAAAAGCGTGGTATTTGATTATAACATCAGTATGACACTGAACGCGACAAGCAGTAATTTAGAAACAGAAAATTAATTCAATTTATCGTAATCTTGTCAAAACCTGTAAACTAACAATAAATATTTACAAACTATATCGTTACCGGACGTAAACATAACCTAAAATTGCTTTCAGCTGATAAACAAGAATGCCAAATAAATCTTTGTATTATGAAGGCTGGTAAAATACAAGATGTATGGAGTAAGAAAACTTAGCAAACAGGTCAGTCATTGGTCGCCAATATATAAGAAGAGTAATGTGTTTTGTAGTTATCAGTTGCTAATAAAGTTGAAGTAATAATAAAATTGCCATAATTTGTTATTTTGACGAAGAGTCATTTTACTTACCATTATTTGTTACATTAAAGAGTAGACTACTTTAAATAGGGCAATGAGTGGATTTTAATGCTACGTTTAGAATCGGTTTCATATTTTTCAGAGTGAAATCTCACATAATATCTACAAAGTTCCCCCGGTACATATAGCTTGAGCAGAGTGCCTCAAATGATGTTTTAATTGCCCACTCGGCCGCTGCGACGCGGCGCGCCACCATCGCCGGGAAAGTTGCTGATGCTGATATGTGCGAGAAAGTGAAGTTGTCAACGAAGGTCAGTGGCAGCGGCAAGTTTGCGTCAGCGATCGTCATATCGTCACCCGGCTGTGAGTTGTGTCAGAAACTGGTAGGGCGGTAAAATTGGCGGGGAAATCGTTCTCCGCAATGTACGGCAGTGCTCTGATATACCATCTATTATAGAAGTAGTCATAATATTTTTGATATATAATATTTTTTTTCCCTCTGGGAAAAGATAGCAAGGCACTCATAGCACATATTCCTGAAGATTCCGACATTACATACATCCTTAGCCAGACTAGGAGACTGAGTGGAACTGGGTACATTATCCATAGGGACTTTCCTCGTGAGATTAGGGACAAACGGTCTTACCTTGTATCAGTGCGGGCTGAAATACAACGAGTGGTGGGTGACGACAAGGTGAAGATGCAGCTAGTTCATGATCATCTGTATGTGAAGGGACACAAGTTTACGTGGGAAGAGGGCTGTCTAAGATCTGGTCCAACCAATGGCACAAACATCCTTAAAGAGCTTTTTCGACACGATTTTTCCGACTTTATTGCCAAACTACCGAGCGAGAAGGCAAACAGGCGCAATGAAACTTCAACTGTGAGACAGACACCGACGCCATCTCAGACCTACGCAGGGGCAGCTTCCAAGGAGCCTTCGCGGATGGCAGAGAACAAGAAATCTTCCTCAGCTTCCTCGGGTCCATCCCAAGCAGACGACATCATCAAACTCCCACCTCAGGCCGAGGTGTGAGAGGGCTACGCCAATCCTCCACAAGACCAAAGGCAAGAAATTGATCTTTATCAGGGACTTTTTAGGGCTTTGGTTTATAATGTTTGTGGGCTCAAAAGCAAGGTTAGTGGTACCAATTTTTTAAATGTTTTAAAAAGTTATGATTGTATATTTTTTTTGGAAACCTTTATATCAGAGAGTGATGTAGTTTTTATTTCAGCTCAGCTGAAGAATTTCAATTTGTTTTTTAAGTTAGCCGTCAGGACCGGAAATGTAGGGAGGTATAGTGGTGGAGAGATTATAGCAATTAATAAATCATCTCCTTTTATTGACAGCTTGACTTGTGTCGAAGAACATAATTTTAACATTGTAAAAGTGAGTTTCATGAATACACAAAGCTTTCTTTATTTTTTGCCTCTTTATTTAAATTGTAACAACTGGGAACAAGACTTCGAAAATCTAGTTACATTACTTGATAGCAGTGAGAAAGAAAATTGGGTTTTATTAGGGGATTTAAATTGTAGGACAGGGGATGAACAGGGATTTTTAGACGGAGAAGTTAGCAATATAACAAAAAAACTCAGCGATTTTCGGAAATCAAAAGACAAAATCATTAACAGTAGAGGGCGCAAAATTTTAGAGTGTTTTGACAACACAGGTCTTATTATTTTGAATGGGAGATCTGAGAGCGATAAGGAAGGGGAATTTACTTTTATAGGGTCATTGGGTTCATCAGTCATTGATTACGCGGCGGTGTCAGTAAATTCTTTACATCTAATCAATGATTTCAAAGTAGTGCCGTACCCAGGCTCAGATCATCTTCCATGTGAAATTAGGTTAAATGTTGCAAGTCCTAGGGTCGCTGGAGGGGAGTGTGGTAAAATCTTACCTTTACTTCCTAAGCTAAAATGGACCGCCAGTGACACTTTAAACTATCATAAACGTACTAATTTAAATTTAGAGTTAGTTACAATTTCTGATGATAACCAAGAAAATATTAATCAGGTAATTAAGTGTGTTTACGAATCTGCTGAACAGAAACCAAACAGTGTTGCTAAAGGTAATAAAATAATAAACAGAAATCCTTGGTTTGACTTTCAATGTTTAGCTGAAAGGAAAAAAATGTTTAGGCTTTTAAATTTATACAGAAAAACCAATTCAGAGGAAGTAAAGAAAAGCTATCTCACACAATTCAATAACTATAAAAAACTGTGTACTTGTAAAAAGAAATCTTACTACGATAAAATTATATCAGATCTAAATGATAGCAAAAGTGATAGCAAGTCATTCTGGCGGGCCATTAACACCTTCAAAAGGAAAAATGACAATATTGTGGGAGATATATCTGCAACTAATTGGTTAAATCATTTTAAGAATTTATTGAATCCATCACTTCTGACAGGGTCGATAAGTTATGCAGAACCGCTAATAGATAACGACCAGCTGGATAATCCTTTCACTTTCGGTGAATTGAGGAATGTTTTGAAATCAGTGAAATCCGATAAAGCACCTGGACCAGACAGAATACCTTATGAATTTTTCAAAAATGCCTCAGATGAATTTTTAAATATGTTACTAACGGTATACAATAACATTTTTATTAGTGAAACAGTACCAAAAACATTTAAAGAATCGATTATTTTTCCTTTACACAAAAAAGGCGATGTTAATTTAGCTGATAACTACCGAGGTTTGTCTTTTATTAATAGCATTACGAAAATATTCACGAGCCTTATAAATATTAGATTACAAACGTGGATGTGCGAGAATGAAGTACTAACAGAATTTCAGGCAGGTTTCAGAAGAGGATACGCCACCATCGATAACATATTTAATCTGACATGTATAATTAATTTACGTCTATTACAAAAGGGACAAAAGCTTTATGCATTCTTTGTAGATTTTAGCTCGGCTTTCGACACAATTGATCGGAGAGCATTGCTTTTCAAATTGGCAAATTTAGGTGTCTCCACGCGAATGCGGAATGTTTTAAAGAGTTATTACAGTGAAACAAGTTCTAGTGTGTGGTGTGGAGGCGGAATAACTAGTTATTTTCAAACTAATACAGGTTTAAGACAAGGATGTAATCTGTCACCGACTTTATTCAGCCTATTTATAAATGATCTGCCAGAAGTGGTGGAAGGGGGGTGTAACATCAATGGGGTTAAAATAAATGTGCTACTTTATGCAGACGATATTATTCTCCTTTCCCCAACGAGCACTGGGCTGCAGCATATGATTAAAAAATTAGAAAACTATTGTGACACTTGGAATCTAACTGTCAATCTAAATAAATCTAAGATAATGGTGTTCAGAAAGGGTGGAAGACTAAAGGCAGGTGATAACTGGAGGTATAAAGGAAACGTTATCGAGGTGGTAAATCAGTATAAGTATTTAGGGGTTACATTTACAAGCAACCTGTCATGGAACAGCCATTTTAAGGAAAAAGCCAGAGTAGGAAAATTTGTTATCAATTCTGTATGGAATTCTTTATTTAAAAACAATAAAGTGCCAATGATTTCCAAAATATCGTGTTTCGAGGCTGTTGTGCGATCGACAATCTGTTATGG